ACTTCAGTTATAATAAATAATTTTGTACAATGAAACAAAAAAGTTAATTTAATTTTCAAGTTTATAATAAAGGATGATTTCATAAAATTACAGATCATTAATTATTATTTTTTCACATTTTATGACCTAAGTTTCGATCTAATGTGCCCACGCAGTAAAAATTTTCATATAAATTTTTTACTGTTTTTAACTCCTTTAGGGTTTAATTTCATAAAATCTTTTCTTAGTACATCTAAACTTTTCAAAAGGAACACACCCTCAAATTTTTAAGATTCTAACATCAGTAGTTTTGGCTCTGCATTAATTATCCTATCAGGACTTGTTCTTTTATATATGAGTATATAGATGACTAAACTACATAATAAGTAGGTAGTTTTCATTTGATTTGTTACCCTTTTTTAATCTCTTAAAAAAATCATAAATAAGCAAAAAATGCACTTTCTCGATCTTAAAATGTATGTTCAGCATTGATAAAAGTTACCAAAATGATTAATTTACTGTGTTTTGTTATTTCTTACTCCTGTTTTTAGGTATTCGGTATTCAGCCGAATACTGAATAGTGGCCGAATATTCGTTACATCACTAGTAAATATATAAAATTACTTGTCCTGACTGACTGAGTGATTGATTCATCATCACCCAAAGCAAACTGCTGAACCTAAAGAGGTGAAATTTGGTACACAGTGTGTGTTTTCATGACATACCCTAAGAAGGAATTTTTCGAAATTCCCACACGGAAAGAGGATTAAGGCTTATTGTATTATTTTAGATGTGATTTTTAGTCTTCACTGAGTACTTTGAAATGTTATCAATTTAATACACTTGACATTGTTATAAATATTTTTATATATTTCAATTTTTTAACCAAATGTTCAAACCGTTTTAAATTCAAATTTGTTATTACTTATTGGTTTGTCAGTGGTAGGTATTATATAACAATTACTATGGTTTTTGAAATACTGAATATAAATGGTGTTACTAGCTGTTACCTGCAACTTTGTCCGTGCAGATTTTGCAAGCAAACGCTGCTTGCAAAATCCGCTCGGACGAAGTTGCAGATAACAGCTAGTATTAATAAAATTGTTAAAGAAAATAAATGATTTTTTAGGTACATTGGACTTATACCACTTTCAATAACAACAAATTGTGAAAAATGTGAATAATTACATTTTGGAAAAGCCAACTTCAATTAAATTATAAATTGTATTTTTGTGCTGCAATTTGAAAAGATAATTTGCCTGTTTATTTTTAATCTTGAGAACAGAGTTAAAAAGAAGGATAATTAAAAAATGGTATTGGTAATTCTCAACTTGAACTACTTAGCACAAGATGATGGCTTAATTACCTTGAATTATAGATATTTGTAGAGAAGTTATAAACACATTTGTCTTAATTTATACTGTAAGAGAAACTAATATTTAATGGAAAATACATAATCAGGCAGGCAATCTCTTTTATGGAAAAGGAAGCATTTTATAAAGAAAAAAATTCTTTATAAAATGCTTCCTTCTTCTTCCCATATTTAAATAGGGTAAAATGTAAAAGGAATTATTCATCTGTTTCCAAGAGATCCTGCAATGATGACCACTGCATAACTCAGAGATTTGAGTCTCATCAATAATGCAGAAAAACCACACGAGTCGTGAAGTGCATTGTTCAGACTTTGGTTTTCGAGCATTTGTTTTGAATGTAATACAGCTGTATGAAAGTTTCTCACATACTACAATAAAAAATGAATGACGTGTATCCTCAAAGCTCTATGAACTTTACTGAGAATAATACCAAAGTTGTTTTGGAGAACAATACTATATGTCATTGTATGCAAGATATATTTATGACAAGTCAGGAGGAGAAGGAAATATTATTTATAATTCTTCAATTTTGTGCCTGATAACCAATTTTTCTCTGGATTTGATAAAATATGAACAGAATTCAACAAATTGAAATACCTGAAATAGGAGATACTCCTAATGGCAACAATAAAAATATTTGTTATATTTTGAAAAGACACTATTTATAATTAAACTTTTTTTCATTTTGAGTAATCAATTCATAAAATATTTAAGATTTTAATTCATGAGATACAGTAGAATCTCTTATTGTAATCACTTTGGGACTACCCTGTGTATGTGTTAGTGAAAATTGAAAGTAAATAAATAATCTCTGACACTTAAAAAGAAAATAATTATGTTCAATCTTCAGTTTTCTTTTTTAATTATATTTTGGGTCACCAGGGACAGGTTGCAAGAATTCACTGATGTCTATTACTAGAAAGGACAAAGGTAAATGCCACAATTTTGTCAGATCCTCCAGGAATTTCATTAAAATTTTGCTAATTATAGGGAACTGGATCCTCACAAAAGCTTAATAAACTTTGCTTATTGTTTTAGGATATGCTAATCCTGATAACAGTATTTATGATTACAATAAGTGGATTCTATTATAATTTTATTTCTAAAACAATCAAATTCTAACCTCATTTTGTACAGGTGACCAAAGTGATAAAGGTAGGTCCATGATATATAAAGTTCCATTTGCATCACTGATAGCTAACACATGAGATTTATCTATAAAAAATATATTATTCAAAAAAGTTACATCAAATCAAAAATAACATCTGAACGATACTAACCTTTCATAATTTTTGGTTTAATTTTAGTTATGAAATTAGCAGAAACATTTTGAATTAAAATGGGTTCGTGAGTTTGGTGTAAAATATCCCATACTTCTATGTTTCCATTGCTTTGACCAATAAATATAATTCCTGGTCGGGTTAGTGACCAATGACCGGCTGTTCTTTCACAAGTCCCACATGATGATTCAAGCAAAGGACCATACTGAAATAAGAAAAGCAGTATTATACAATTATTAAGACTATTTAAAATCTAAATATTTAAATTTAACAGATACTGGTATATCTGACTTCCATATTGCCATTTTCCATCCTCCTACTACTAAATATACATCTTGTATGAAAGGAGAATGTTGAATTGTATTTACAAATCCTCCTATTTTACATTCAAAATAAATTGGTGAAATACCTAAAAAATTGATTTAGTTAAAAGTTATTTTCATATTCTTTAGAAAATTTTTAAAAATTATTTACATTCAGTTAGCTGTCCAGTGGCATCACATGGTATTTTCCAGTCACCATAAAAGATATCGCCATTCTATTGTGAGTAAAAATTATATTCAAATTTGATTTATATATCAGTGAGTTTCAAAGTAATTATAATTCTTACCACATTGCCACCAATAAAATTTGATGCAGGAGGAGCAGATTTTCTTATCTCATCATTTGAATTTTCTGATAAAAGAAACCAATAAGAAAAAATTATATATGAGCATTAAGCTTAAGAATTTCAGAATCGTTACCTTTAATTTCAAAAGAAAATACAGATACATTGTTTTGTGCACTATCAGCAGGTGGTGCAAGTTTTACCTAAAAATAAAATATTGAAATAATTTATAACTTAAAAACCACTGCCAAATTAGCAGAAAGATTAAATTTTTTAATTTATATATCTTTTATTTAGTTTAACTGTTAAATCAGATAAGTGATTCTTAATCTTTTTTGGGGTCAAATGTTGAGTTGAAATCCCCCACTTGATCTTTTTAACACACTCCACTATAGTGTGAAGTGTTTTTGTGTGTGTGTCAGACGTGCATGCGCAATAACTGTTCACTTTTGTTACCTAAGTGTTATGTTCCATTCAATCCATTCATTGCGCAAAAGGAAACTGACCATTTTCACTTATGGTCACTGTAAGCTATAGTAAAAACTACCCGGTTTCTCTGGAATCTATAAATCACATCCCTTACTGCATATTCAGTGAAAAATTCTTCTGAACAACTACTTGATTCTACGAATTTATAAAATAAATTTTAAACAAATTAATATTTGATTCATTTTTGTGGAGCATGCTATCAGATTGTCTCCTAACTCCTTTCCTTGATCATCTTCCTGTCCATGTAAACAAACATACACAATTTTTACTTCCATTTAAATTATACTTGTGTAGAGATAACAAACAAGTTTGAGTAATGAACTTCATATAGTTGCAAATTCATATATCATGGGGGGAGAAAAATATACTGAGGAGCCAGTGTATTGAAACTCCTCTAGACATATATATCTGTGCAATTCAAATAGCTGTTGCTCCAGTTTGATGTGTGATAAATCAAATTGTAATTTGAAGACCTCTCTGGTTGGTAGATCATAGAACAGCAAGGAGGAAGACTTTGTTGTGTGTTTTCTCTTCACAGTAAGCATTGTAGAATCTATTAATGAACCAAATGATCTTTATTGATTAAACATATTTTTGTGTTAAATTAACCAAAACAATTGGTATGAAAATTTATTTCTGATAAATAAATTATTCTATTAAACAGGCATTTATTAAATTTTTTCACACAAATTTTTTTTTTTTTATCATTTTTCATTCTCCTGTTTTGATAAATAAAGCAAAATTAAAGTTACAATTTCAACAAAATAAATATTTGTTTACTTACTGAATGTATTGGACTCCATGTTAAATCAAGTGAAGTATAAATGCTAATGTGAGCCTTAACTACAGAAAACAATTCATCTTGGTGAGTTTTCTTCTCTGGTCGAATATCCCATATCTTGATGAAACTAAAAATAGTTATATCTTATTATTGATATTTTCTTTCATAAAAACCAAAGAAGGAAATTGTTCAGAATAACAGTTATTAGAAACGGATGTAATCTTCATATATGCTTTATTCAAAAAAATTCCTTGTCCTCAGTTATATGTAAACTATCTACACAGAACTGTATTATGATCTCTCAAAAAATATTTATTCCAAAACTTGCTACCATGTGAATGGAAATGATGAAATTATTACTATGACAACCTAGTTTGAATCACATTTTTCTTAAAATATAGGAACTGTTCTACTTTCAGCACTGGGGTGAAATCAACGTTACACTATCTGGAACTTGTGACCGGTGCTCTACATGTATATAATATACAATATATACATGTAGAGCACCAGATAGGTCATAGGTTCCAGATAGTGTAACGTATATTTTTCTTATTTGTCAATGCCAATATTCTTATCCTTTTTTATTTATACAAAAAACATCCAATAATGATTCTAATATACCCTATTGTTGAGAACTGGGATATTAGAATATTCCATTTTAAATAAAGTCGATATTCCTCTAGTCAATAAAAATAAAATTTATATATAAAAACGGAAAAAAATTAATTTCAATATAAATTACAAAAAATTATCAAAAATATATAATTTGGGAGGTAACTAAAGTTTTTGATACTTGCTTTACTAATTACTTAGGTAATTTCCTACATTTTTAAAAATTATGTCATCTCAAAAAATAACAAAAAATTTATTAGTTAGAATATTAACTATAATTTCCAATGTAAAATTATGACAATACATAATGAATGCTGCAAAATTTAGCTGCATAGCTAACACTGATCAATATCATATTACATGGATGCTGAAAATAACAAAAGATAACTATCATCATCCATCCTGTCCAATAAAACAAGTTTTTCTTAATCTTAAACTGTCAATAAACAAATCTAATTTATAGATCTTTATAACTAAAAAGTACCAGTTAAACTTTTGCAAACAACTGTGTTTCTGATTTATGAAGATTTCAAAATTTAAGACTACTAGTTGTTTTCCAGTATTTTATACATTTCATCATTTGCATAGATTATTATATCATCTCGTATGTTGATTGCATCATATGCATTCTCTGCTGGTATAGATAAAGGCGCATGTATGGTTTTTGGCAGTTGTTGACTCGATTTTGGCATAGACAGTGCTGTACTATAATTATTATAATGGGTAAGAAACCTTCACTCACTGTTGCAAAAAGAGCAGAAAAATAGTGACCGTGTATAAAGTTGATTTTTCTGAACGTCAAATGAGTTCTAGAGTAAACGTGAGCATCTAAGACAACTGTTCATCAAGCTATCAGTAATAGTAGTAGTCTCCTGAGAAAAACCTCTCCATTTGATGACCATGTTATAAGAAGAATTGTTGTTGATCACTAAGAAGCTCCTGCAATAAAATTCCATTAAATTTGCTTTTTTTGTGTGTGGTCTTAAAGTTTTGCAAATGACTGTATACAATCAAAAATTAATACTAAACTAAGAATGTAAAATTTATTTACAGTATTAATCTATATTTCACTAGATGATAACATGAATCTGTAGTATTAAATAAAAATTCTAGTCACAGTATCATTCCATAATATAAAATCATATGTTCAAATCTTAATTTTATATTTTTAAAGAAAATGTTAACTAAATTATTTATACTCTATTGAAACTCCAGAAAAGAAATGGATATGAGAGTTTATTTTTATATTATACTTTAGCAAATATTTCAGCAATAGTTTATTTAATAGCAATTTTGTTATAAACTTAAAGATGAAACAGTAAGAAATTTGAAAACAAATTCAAAATCAGTTTTATGAGATTAACAAATTAAAATATTTTATGTTCAATGACTTTCATACCCATCAGAACCTGAAGTCATTAGTTGCACAGAAAATTTTAATTTGCTCCAAGAAACATTTCCATTTTCCTTCACCTATAACAAAAAATAAATTTTTATGAAATTGTTCAATTTTTTTTCTAACTTAAAAGTCGTGAAGCAAATCAACAACCTCTACATTATTTGGGAACCATTCTAGATATAAAATGTCTGATAGATGTCCTTGATCTATGCCAGATGATGCAACATGCTTGATAATTGGCACTTCTTGAATTTCTTTTTCATATATTGAACACTAAATAACAATAAATTTATACTATTTAAAATAAATTTAATATTGACAGATATATTCTTTATATAAAATTTATTATCTGCTTAATAAACAAACTATTGAAATATCTTCAACAGTCAAATAGATTAGTAAACTGATTTTATTCATCTTGTATTTGTATTAAAAACATTTTTTTACTTTTGTTTAAAAGTATCTAATAAACAAAATTTTCAAAACTCAACAGATCTTTTAGGATATTTTAAATACAAAAATATTACTCATTATCAATTTACTATTTAATATGAAATTATTTTTGGACATTTATCTTTAATATACAAAAACTAACCAATCATTTGACAATATTAATTAGTGAAAATTATGAAAATGTAGTCAATAAGTGGTATATCTACTGTAGAAATGTATTAAACTGATTAACATAATTAATTTTCAAAAAATTTTAGATATATCAATAAAAAAACTTACTATTTGAGATTTAATCTGATGCTGAGGCTCAGTCAGTTTTTTTAATTCTTTTTGATACGATGTGAGATCCCATAAAATAAGTTGGCCATTAATACATCCTCCAGCTACCAAATTGGGATTGGTAGGATTAAATTGAAAGATCAAAACATCATCAGGTGCTTCTAACAAGAGCTATACATATGAAATAATAATATATAGTTAATTATTTGTTTTTTCATTTAAGTAAAAGTAACATACTGATGATACTTTTTGAATTTCTTATATGTAACTATGAGGAAAACTAAGTATAATTAATTAAAATTTTAATGTCAATTTTCAATTAACAAAAAATACTAGTTTTCTGATCTTTGTTCATATAAAATATATTATGTTACATCTTTATATAATTGTCTTTAATAAATTATTTTGAACAAGCAAAAATTATTGTGACATTGTCACAATGCAGGGCTGCAATTTCTAATCATATTTTTAACTTATTTAATTTAAACTATATAATCTGGATCTCAAATTATTAGTATATTGCCCCTGTACATCATACTTTTCCTGACAACAACAGAGGCATGCTGTTCTGGGAAAAATTATTGAATTGAAATCACATAACTCAGGTCTATACTGGAAGTTCGTGTATAGCTTATTGGTTCCTCCTGCTTCTAGCTTTCCAAACCTGGTTTTGACTTTCATCTATCTAGCTGACAGACAGACAATGGGAATTTATAGGTCTACAATTTTTTCAAATTGTAACACAATTAAAGATAAAAAATTAAATGGAATTAAATCATTATAGTTGCACTTATTTTTAGAATATTTATAATAATAATAATATTTATTATGGTAAATCAACCAGTTTCTACTCACTTTTGGATTTATAGGATCAATGAAACTCCAAAACAGAATCAAACTGGGTTGAAGAGTGAAATAAGCAAATTTGTCTATTCTTTCATAAAAACTGTATGATTTAATACAGGAAGCAACAATAATGCCTAAGACAATTATTCAATTTTAGAAAACTTTATTTTCATTTTAACAATATATTAAACTATATTTTTAAAACATACCATCAATTATGGGATACCAGCTAATATGACTTATCATTTTCTTTATACTATATTTAAGAGAAGTAAAAGATTGAAAAATCTGAAATAGAAAGTAAAAAATATTGAATAATTAAAACAAATTAAATTTTAAAATCAATTAATTTTAAATCTTAACTTAAATTTTTATTTATTAAAAATATAATGTAATACTTAAAACCTAGCTTCTTCAAGAAGAAATAATTTTAATTGGAAATAAATTGTATTAAATAATGAATTATAAAAAATATAATATTTTCAAAAAATAATCAGATCTTTTGCAGTCATTTGATAATCTTTTTATACCTTTTTAAGAATAAAAAATATCTTCATTATTTCAAAATAAAAACTGTATCATAACTATGATTTTATCATTTTTGAATATAAATAGAATTAGAATATAAAAATTCATAGAAGAATTGATTCAGTAAGATCTGTTAATTTTTTTTATTAGAGACTAAAAGAATAATTTATATAAATATTTAAAATAGAAACTGTATTTGTTAAAATATGATTGTCAAAAGATATTTTACATATGTCATATTGTAAAGTACAGTCAATTTGAAGGATTTCATAAAAAATGTATTTCACTAACCTTTAAACTTCAGCAGATATATGTTAAAACAAATGCTTTCAACTGTTTCAAGCCCTTCTTCCAAAAATTAGAACTACACTTGAAATTCTTAAAAGTCCAGTGTTCCAAATAAAGAAGATTGTTACCAGAATTTCAAAAATGAATCATAGTTCAAACACCAAAAAGATTGTTAAATTTTTATTTATGCTGTATTTCTTCAATGTATTCAAATGGCAGTACTCCATCTTTTAAATTTTGTAACAATCTTCTCTGTCTGGAACACCAAACTTTCAAGCATTGTTCTGTTTTTTGAAAGATTATCTGATGAGAACCTTGAAAAGGTCAAAAATGTTTGTTTTAATAAATATCTGCTGAAGTTTAAAGGTTAGTCAAATATATTTTTAGATATATCGCATATTTAACTTTAATTCTTTCTTTGCAACAATGCACAAAGTTATCATAACATGATATACTTAAAAATTAAATAATAAAAGAATGTTATACTAATAAAATTTTCAAATAATTGTAACTGTAAATCTGATTTCACTTTTATATGATCAGTAGAAAATTTTGGTGGCTGAAATTCTTCTTCACTAAGTTCTAACCAGTCATCTTTGAAGATATCAGAAGTTAAGTTTTCATTAATAATTTTAAGCATTCTGTAAATAAAAAAACCAAGTTTAATTAAAACACTATCTAATTTTATATATGCTACACTATAATAATAATAAAAAGAAATTATATATATAATTATATTGGTTTTTAAAGAACAGTTACAATTTAGAATATGAGTCATTCTTTTTGAAAATTTTCAATTTAGGAATCAGTTATTTTCAGTCATTTTTCTTAAAAACAACCTCAAGAAACATTACTGATATATATATATTATACATATACAACAATTTTTATCTAATTAAAATCTTATTAAAGAACATTCATTGCATTATTGTTTAATAAAATATCTTACTACACAAAGTTTTAAAAATATCAAATTTATTTTTATTATAAATTTATTCTTCTTCTCTATTTCATATTTTTCCATGAATTGGTATTGTTTCTCCTCAGACTAATACTAGGTCATAGAATACATTTTAGAAAATGCTGATGTAAACTATATTTTTTTCCTTCCAGAAAAAAAAAAATTGTAATGTTTGTATAAATCAGTGATTCTCAAAGCAAGGGTTGTGCAAAATATTTGGGAGGTTGCAGAAAAATTGATGACAGATCAATTTTTTTTTCAAATATTTTATAAATTTACTATGGATTCATGTTTAGAAATAGTAGATTCTTTTTGGCTTAGTGTGAAAGCAGAGTATCCACTACTCTCTTAATTATGAATTAGCAATGGCAGTTCTCTTACGATTTGCAACCACTTATATGTGTGAAATGGCATTTTCAGTAATGACCAACATCAAAACAAAGCAGCGCTCTTGTCTTTGCAACATAGAAATCGCTATGAGACCTGCACTGACTGATATTAAACCCAGATTTAATTTATTTTTCTTGAAGTATGCTTTGTGATTCAATTTCATGCTAGATGCTGAAATAAGTGGACTAGGGTTTATCACCACTTTAATAAAAATATCACCCAAATATCTTGCTATCACTAAACTTGAAATTGGTGACAGTTTTACAAGTAACTACAAATTTCTCTTTTTTTGATGATATGAAACCGTGCTTTGCTATTTGTTTATGCTTCTGACACAATATAGTGCTATAAATTAAGACACTTGGCGGATTTTCTCATCTTTATTTAGTTGATACGTGTGGAAAAAATTACACGTTTCGAGCTCTTAAGCCCCTCTTCAGTCAACTAAAACATTTAAAAAGGATATAACATACACATAAAAAGGAATACACAAGTTTTGTAAAATTTTTAAAAAATAAAACATACCTATCCATACAGGTTTTATAAATTAAAGTAGCAGTTTACTTTCGATATTTTTTCAGCAACATCAGCTTATTCACAGTATTTTTTCTTGTAGCCTACTATAATATTAGGAGAGTATACAACGTATCTATATAAAACTATACATAAGTTTTATAGTATCTATAAAACTATATTTAATTAAGGCATACCTTGAGTACGGCTGTTATTAAGGTTGTACTGTACAAAATTGATTATACCTTTTACTTATAAAACAGTCTTACAAAATCCTTGGTCTAAAATATACCTTAGACAACAATTATCAAATTGGTATACAATTGATTATGCTTTTTACTCATAAATCTGTTTTACTAAATCCTTATTTCCTTTGATAAGCATTGACAATATAATACGAATTTACATAACTTCTACAATATAAATTTACATATCTGACATCTACTATATTTTTACAATATATGATTGTTGATTTATTTAACATTAC